CGACGTGGATGCAAGACTTCTGCTTGCGACTCTACTTTCGTCACAATATACAGAACCTCGACGGAATGAAAGCCTGAATGTGAAGTCCACCTATGAAATAAGGAATCCACATGAATTTGTTAGTGATTGTCATTATATGTTTTGTTAGCCAGCACTTGCTTAAACGATCGGTAGTAGTTAGAGTGATTTTACTTCCGCCCGTGAAAGAACAGTCAAYGTRATACATGGGAGTAGAGGAAAATATTMTATTGTTTTCTTTTGTTTTACTTTGACTGTTAGTCGCTAAATATACAAATTTGTTTYACGGCCAAGTAAAMTCACTCTAATAAAATAAGTCTACTGGATAGAATTTTGACATTACCGAGTATGGCGAGGCTGCGTTTGGCTTGTAGGTGATTGTACCTCCTCTGTAATGCGATGATTGAACTCCACCAGCAAAGAACAAACAACCAAGCATGACGCCAACCAACAAGACAAACGGCTTCATTTCTGGCTTGGAGAGGTTTCTAATAATATTGTATGTTGAATTCAGACACTAACTGAAGTATACTCTGTCCATCTCTTTCAAACAGCTTCAAGTCTGATGGGAGTTTATCTTGTTCTAGAACCTTTATTGATTGTCACACCTTTGAAAGGTTCATTGTCATTCGTCAATAAGTGTCACGTGGTATCAAAATGGACCGGGAAAGAACCCCGGAAATGAAKGCTTAGTTTGTTATTTATAAAAACATATGATTGTTTATGAAAGCTCCTTTACCATCCATTGCAATTATATCGACTCTGATTGGTCAAACGTCACGTGATCACACAACAGGTCAAGACAGGCCCCAAGCACTCAATTGTGTCTTTGTTTGTGAAATATAATTTCGTAGTTTTTTTTTCATTGAGTTTTAAACAGTGTGTTTATGCCAGTAAATAATATAAAAATAAGATAAAGAATATAAATATTTGAATTAAATATAAGGTTATTCTCTTGATCGCAGAGATGTGCTGCAATGATACTCGCTGTTGTCATGTTGAAAATATGTATGCCTGTGTAGTTAACACAATTCATTGGATCCGCTTCATGCTGCAGTTGAAAGTGTGTGATAACCAACCGCGCTTTATCCCAACAGGGAGGGATCATCTTCTTGGTCCCACTGAGATTTTGCCTTCAAAAGGATGTCGGATTATCGAGTTTGGAAAGGTTTGATGAGAAAAATGAAAATAAACTCTACAGGTTTTACAAACGTTGGCGAAAATTCATCTATTCAGGTTTAACATTAATATCATAGCGAATGGATTTGAGAGTAAAAAGCAGAGTGAAAACACATTCTTTGATGTTTTCTCAGTTTTGTGCTCCAATGCTTTTTAGGGGTGGAYCAATTAAAACTTGTTTTGATAAAAAAATCCAGACTTCCGAAATTTCTTGACCTGATTAGAGCCTGGGTTTCTTGTGATATTCCTATATTTACATTGAAAAAACTTTTTATTATACTCATGAATATTAAGATCTATTAAGATCATTCTCGGCTAATTAAAAGTTCTTTATATGTTTATACTGGAAAACTGCTGGTACGTGGTGTGCTAATTGTTTGAGTCGGATGCCTGATTTATCAAGATTGTTCAAGAAGACATTTGTTTATGTAGACCAAATAGACCGATTCAACTTGTCTCAACTTGTCTTAA